TGTTCTGAAGTACCATATTACCCATAATGCTGTCAGTTTGTGGAAACAGCATCTAAGTGGGTCTAACTTTAGTTAGGCCACTAAGCATTTCTATACAGGTCAGTCAAATCCTATCATTACACTGGAAACAAATAAAAGATAATTGGCTTGTCCCCAAAATACTTTCCCTCCTCCTCCTTCACTACATTCTTCCTTAGAGAAAAGGATAGATAGCATTGGTATGATCCTATACAATCTCAAAATATTGAGATCAGCATCTCAGAAGGATTGAGGGGCTTACTGAAAACATTTTTGCACACTATTCAGCCTAGAGGCTTATATTTGGGTTTTGTATATAGCTGTACTCAGGAAGTTACTGGATCTAATACAGTGCTTCTCTACCTTTTTAGACCCCAGGCATCTTTTGTTAAACTCAAAACATGCCTCAGAAAATACCAGCTCTTAGCTTTCACTCATTTTTAGTCCAGGAACACAACGGAATAACTCTTCTGTTGCAAAGAACTCAGAAAGACCACAACAAGTTAGAATGTTTTTGACACTACGGATTATTTTTTTAAATCTCTGGATTTATCTTGAGAGTTATGTATACATTTTTGCATACCTAATAGTACTAATATTGTGCAACACCCTTGAAAAGATCTCATAGCATCATGCCTGAGAATCACTTATCTAATAGTTTGAGAGTTGCAGACAAAAAAAAAAGTTATTTTTCTGCCAAATAGGGCATGATAAAGAACTGCATATTTACTAGAATATAAGACAAAAGTTTCCCCCAATCAACATGGGGTGAAAAATCCCCTCACCTTACATTCGCATACAAAGAAGCCTGATTAAATGCGTCATCTATCATTAAATTGCTGCTGAAAGCAACACGTGCTCAGCGATGGAAACTGACTATGAAGTTGATTAAATGCAGCCAACACTGAGCATGACTATAAAACACGTGGCACGTGGGACAAACATACTGATGGGAACCTTTGTGTGTGGGGGGGTGGGGGTGGGGGGGACTTAAAAACAAAATAAAACAAAAAGAAACAGGCAAGTGTTGCCTCCGCAGAAAACTGGCACTGTGCCTGGGGGTACTACAATACCAGGCTGGCACCAGGAGAGCCAAGGCCAGCCCTGACACCTTCCCTATGGTACCAGAAATGCTATATTTGAATTTAGCCAAAAGGCCAAGACACTGATGGGAACTGACCACAAGAACAGGTTAGTGCGATAAATTTTGTGGGAGTATCCATTATGCTCAGTCCTCTCAATGCTGACTCTGTTTCAAAGAGCCACAACAATGAATATATTTCAGCTTCCTCTTCACCCTCACAGCTGGGCTGTTCCTTTGTTTCCTATTTCTAATAAGTCCCATTTCTTCACCAGCCTTAAATGTCTGGCAAGCATCACTGAACAGGGCCCCAAACACCTTACCCAGAATCCCTCTGTCATTTCCCACCTTTCTCTCAGCCTCTTGCATATGATTAGTGTGGTCCCACCCTCTGTGAGGTGAAGCTGGACCAGGTTGCCCTATATCTCATCTACATATACATTTTTGGAGGATCCCAGGACTTGTTACAAGAACACCTGGTTCTAGTCATGAGTGGAAGGCTAATTACCACATGGATCCTTTGTAGGGAATAATCTGAAGTACATGCAGATACTGAGCAGTGCTGAGCTGTGGGGGTCACCTGGGCTTACAATGCTGTTGTCTCTGCTGGGGCCCAGTCCAATGACCTATATGGTAAATCATGAGCCTTTTGGCTTTGGACTAATATCATGTATAGCAGAAGTGTTGCTTAAAAGTGTGTTTATGAATTACCTGTGCTAAAACTTGCAGGAGTTTAAAAAGAGGTAAACTTGATCAATTCTGGATGAACCAAGTCTATGGGTACCTGTAATAATTTTCCTATATGTAAGTTCCTGCAGGCAGCGTCTCTTCTAAGCTGTGCAATGTACACGGCTGCACACGCCACACAGTTTAGAGGGAATACTGCCTACAGGTATGTTTATTTCTAGGTTAGCGTTTCCAAATTTACTTCTTGTTCCGCGCGCAGTTCGGTGGGAACCGGTGGGTCTTTTCCCCTTGGGCAGGTTTTGTAAAGGAGGCGGCTACACACTCATAATGGTTACAGAAGTTTTTGTTTTTGTTTTACTTACACGTCAGTGGAATAGATGCGTAGGCGCAGACCAAGCAGAAAACAGGTATCGGTTACGTTGCGAGATCGACAGCTGCGGAGACCCTCTCAAGACAGAGCTGAACGAGGTCTTATTGAGTGCACTGGGAAGGGTACGCCGGGGAAATTTCGTGGTTGGTGGCGGAGAAGCACGTCAAGGCTGGCCAAGCCTGGGTGGGGAGGAAGAGTTCCTCCTCGATGCGCTGACGAGCGCTGCTTCTGCTGGGCAGAAGCTCACGCATAGGTTTTATAGGCCGAATGACGTCTCTCGCATTGCGGGTATTGATTGGTCAATCCTTTGTGCCCGCTTTTGGCGCGCGCAGGAAAATTAGAGGAGAAAAAAGGGGCTCCGAGGGCAGGGTCAACTAGCTCGGGTTTGTGCAGTTTGCAGGTTTGTGCTGATGGCACAGTTTTGCGTAAGACACTTCTCAGTTCCTTACTGACTGTACCTGCTCTCTCTAAGCACATGGAAGAGGACAAGGGGAAAGAAGGTGGGGGAAGAGGGCCAGAGGGCAGGGGGGCTACTTAACCCCCCAATTTAAATTTTCCCTGCTGTAGCAGTAGAAAGAGGACAAATTCAAGGTAAACCTCCAATAATTAGATTCTATATGTGGAAAATAGTAATTTTATACATTTTTCATATATAAAATCTAATTATTGGCGGGTCATCTTATATTCAAGTAAATATAGTATTTTATCCAGATTCTGTTTGCAGTCTGGCATTAGACATTCCAATAGAGTTCTAATTATTTGAATAATAAAACCACCAACAACCTTCATTTATAGAAAGATGAAGGAACAAGCTAGAAGCTAGGTAAGCTAGTAAGCTTGTTTTCAGCATTACTCCTAGCCAGGAATATATAATACACACTAGTTAGCCTGTCTGCTGTGGTCTTCTATACTAGACCAGATTGAGTTTAACAATAGTATTGAATCCACCCAAAATAACCGTTTTAAATCCCCACGTGGACATTATGTCAATTGAGTGGCATCAATAAAATGTAGTTACATAAGCTGGCAAAAAGGAAAGTTGATGAGAATTTAAAAATGTGGAGCTAAATCATGGACTAAGGACTCTGACAGAGTGGGGACCAGGGATGAGGTGCACTCAGTAGCTGGGGATGTGTACTAGTTTAAGAACCTGGAATATAAGACAGGCATGGAAGCACCTATTGGCAGAGCTGTCCCTAGGGGTGTGGGGG